TTGGCCAGGGTGGTCTTGGGCCGAGGGTGGGCCCGGCCAGCAGGCGCATCCACCGATCTTGTTCACGGGATTGGCCTGGCCAGGTGCGCTGCACGTGGATATTCAGCGCCCCGCGAGTTATGGAAGAGGAGACGAGTGTGGAAAGGGGAGCGCATCTTCGGGTTCACAAGCCAGTTCCCACATTTGGCCTGGCAAGACTCTGTGCTTGTGGATGTTCGGCGTTTGCGGAGTGGCGGGGGAGGAGGGGTGCTGCGGAAAGTGGGTAGTGTTTTTTCCAATGCGTTGCCCCCAGGATTGGTCTGGTCAGGGTCGGTGTGTGTGTGTGTGTGTGTCTGTGGAAGTTCGGCGAGGCCGCACAGGCCACTCTTGACCAAACTCTTCGTGCTGTGAGTGCCCTCCTTCTTTCTCCTGCCTTCCGCGGCCGCTCTCGGGTCCCCTTCTCTCCTTTTGCAGCCAGAAAGGTAGTGCGTGCCCAAGCCCTGCCCACTGGAGCGCGCGTGCGGATCGCCTCTGCCGCGCTGAGACAGGGAAAAGTGTGTGGATATTTGGCGCCCTCCGAGTGGTAGACGGAAAATGGAAGGGAAGTGACCTCCTTCACCGCTCCCCATGCGTCCCCTTCTCCCCTCTTGTCGCCGTCGCCGTCGCCGTCGCCGTCGTCGTCGTCGTCGTCGTCGTCGTCGTCGTCGTCATCTTCCTTTCCTTTCCCCCCTTTTCCACTTTATCTTCCCCCCATCCCTTCTGTCGCCTCCCTCCCCTCTTTTGTCTCCTCCTCGTGCGGTGGGACCTCTCCTCCGACGTCGCCAGTTCTCGTGGCGTGGGCCCCCGAGGTTCTCGAGCCCTTCCGCGGGGCCGGCTTCTCATGCCAAGACGTCTCTGGAAGGTTTCAGGCCCAGGAAGCAGCCTTTGGAGGTCGAAGATGGTGAAACGACTTGCTGCCTCGTTTTTATTTGTCTGTTTGTTTGTTGTTGTGGCACTGGAGGACGATGTCAGCACCGGTTCCGGCGAGCAGGAAAAGGGGGCGAGGCTCGAGGTTCTGGGTTCGATATTTTTTGTTGGTGGTTGTTGTTGTTGTTGTTGTTGTTGTTGTTGTTGTTGTTGAACTCTCAATCTTGAAGAATAATTATTGTTGATCCCCCCCCACTGGTGCACATAGTTTTTTTTCGTTTGAAGTGCCACCCCCGGGGCTCGCACCTTGTTTTTTCTCAAGGAAAGTCTTCCTGCTCAAACTGTGCCCCTGCCCCCCGGGCTACAACAACAACGGCTCCCGCCTGAGACTTCCTCGATTTTTACTCAGGACCCCCGCTCCCGCCTGAGACTTCCGCGCAATTTACTCAGGAAAGGCGCTCCCGTTTGAGACTTCCTCGCAATGTAATCAAGACCCCCGCTCCCGCCTGAGACTTCCGTGCAATTTACGTGGGAACGGCGCTCCCGCCTGAGACTTCTTCGAATTTTACTCAGGACCCCCGCTCCTGCTTGACATTTCCGCGCAATTGACTCAGGAACGGCGCTCCCGCCTGAGACTTCCTCGCAATTTAGTGAGGACCCCCGCTCCCGCGTCAGACTTCCGTGCAATTTGCTCAGGAACGGCGCTCCCGCTTGAGACTTCCTCGCAACTTAGTCAGGGCCCCCGCTCCCGCCCGAGATTTCCTCACAATGTACTCAGGACTGCGCTCTCGCGTGCGACGTCCTTACAAATTATTCTGGAATTGCGTTTCGGCGCTCAGGAACTACGCACGCGCCAAGGACGCCTTCACAATGTGGTATCTTCCCTCTTCCTTCGTCCTTCCCCCTCCCCTTCCTCCCTCTCTCCCTCGTTCTTCCCCTCCTCCTCTTGCAGGGCCCGCGCCAATTCCAATGGCGGGCAGAGAGATGTACGCCCCCGAAGGATTGTCCGCCCGTTCCGGTTTGCCTGTACGTCTAAGCCCGCTGGCCCCAGCAAAGAGAAATAATCCCCCCTAAAGGGGTGTGATCGAAGACGAAGAGGGCGGGCTTCGAGGGTGTAGGGTATACGTGTTGAATGACTCGCGGGCAAGTAAGAGCGTACAGCCTTAAATTGGTTGCTGTTGTTGTTGTTGCCTTTTTCGGCTTCCAGCTGCCGTTCTGGGGCTCGGGGACCGTCAGAAACGGATCTGGGGTGAAAAACTACACGGGATGGACCCTGGGAGGGGCCCAGGGACCAGTTTTGAGCGGATTCTCCCTTATCCCCCCTTCTTGACCGATCTTCTCGGGTCCATCCAGTTCAGACCACCCGGCCGTCTCCAGCTTGCGCTATCGCTTGGGTGTTAGGAAGCTGGATACACATGACGCCGCCGGTCTGGGCAAGCGCTGGGTACAGTCAACCAGCATAGTAAGGATGGGCAATCTTACCAAGGGTATCCTTGCATCCTTGCCCCTTCGGCCCAGCCTTAGCGACGTTCGCTGGCCAACCTCGTTCGAAAAACGTTAACATGGGACTCCAAGGCCCTTGCATCCTTAGTGCGCGTCCTTATGATACAGGTTGACTGTACACGCAATATGGAGCCCGTTTCTTTATTGCTTGGTGTATGACGGGCGTCATGGCCCACGCTCCCTCCTCTGACGTAACGCTCCCCCCCCCCAGTGCGCTTCGGGCACTGCCGCCGTGCGTTTTGGGATCCGCGTAGGTGTCCGCGTAGGAATCCGCATAGAAGTCTGGTCCGCAGTCGTCGTCGTCGTCGTCGTCGTCGTCGTCGTCGTCGTCGTCGTCGTCGTCGTCGTCGTCGTCGTCACTCGTGGCTTGTCGTTCGTCGCTCATAGTCGTCGTGCGCGCGGACGCGGCTGAAGCCTGTTTTTTTATTCTGGGCCGATGACGGCAATCATCTAGGGGGGGGTGTAGGGGGTCGATTTCGTCATGTTTAGCGCCGGCGGCGTCTGGGAATGCTTAGGAATGACGGAGCATCACAGTGCCTGCGTGCACCACAGCCCCTGTGTACACCACACCGCCTATGTACACCACAGCAGCCCCGTGCGACACAGCGTCAGTTTGTGCCACCGTGCCTGCGAGCACAACAGCTCTAGTGCACACCACAGCGCTTGCGTACACCACATCAGCCGTGTGCAACACAGCACCAGTGTACACCACAATGCCTGCGTGCATTGCAGTGCCTGTGTGCACCACGGCGCCTGTGTGCACCACAGCAACCGGACCGTGTGCATCACAGCACCACTGTTGTACATAGAATGTTTAAACGAATCCTTATGACAAAATGGAACGCTTGTGGATTCCACAGAACATAACAGAAAATAATCCTTATGGACGACGGAGCGCCGCTGGAATCTACGAGTCCTCCCGAGTCCGCCCGCATCACCCTAACTTCTCCCATCTGCGTCCAGGAGGCTCCAGCTAAATTGGCCGTCCGAGAACCAACTGGACCGATTCAATAGACCATTCTGCGGTGCGTGCTGAGATGCGCACGCGCGCTGTAGCGCCAACCCGGACGACAGGGGGTAAGGAGGAGGAGGAGGAGGAGGAGGAGGAGGAGGAGGAGGAGGAGGAGGAGGAGGAGGAGGAGGCACGGACAGGGGCGGAGGGGCGCGTGCAACAGCCAGCGGACGGGGCAGCCGCTGGCGGGAGCGTGAAAAGGTTTGGGCGACGTCGGCTGACCACCTCGCCGCTCAGTTGGCCCTCCCGGTCGGGCCAGGGAGGTTTGCAGGATGGGCTTCACGCAATGGAGGGGCGATAGAATGAGGGGGACAGCGAGGGCTGCAGAAAAGGGGAGGGAGGAGGGAGGAGGAGGAGGAGGAGGAGGAGGAGGAGGAGGAGGAGGAGGAGGAGGAGGAGGAGGAGGAGGAGGAGGAGGAGGAGGAGGTGGTGGAGGTGGAGGAGGAGGGAGGAGGCAAGAACGTCGCATTCGATTATCAGCACTTCCCTGGCGTGTACATGCTGCTTCTACCTGTCCTATGCACGCAGGCATTGTGGTGTACACCAGCGCTGCGTTGCACGCCGATGCTGTGGAGTAGACACGCGCTGTGGCGTGCACAGGCGCTGCGGTGCACGCAAACATTGTGGTGTACACAGGCGCTGTGTTGCACATGGTAGCTGCGGTGTACACATGTACACCGGCGCTGTAGTGTACGCAAGCACTGTGGTGTACACAGGCGCTGCGTTGCACACGGTTGTGGCGGTGTACGCAGGCGCTGTGGTATACACGCGCGCGAGCGTTGTGGTGCACACAGGCGCAGTGGGGCATATCGCCCTTTACATGCTGCTCGCGTCGTCGTCGTCGTCGTCGTCGTCATCATCGTCGTCGTCGTCGTCGTCGTCGCTCGTCGCTCGTCGCTCGTCGCTCGTCGCTCGTCGCGTCTCGCGAGCGGGCGCGGCTGCGGTGCCGGAGCCACACGGCGGGGGGGGTGCGTTACGTCATACCCCCCCGTCGCCCCCCCCCAATGACGCCCCTCATCGCCGAAACGCGCTCATGGCCGCACGTCCTCCCAAGGCTGGGCCCTGGAATGGCGGGGTGCGCCGGCCCTCCGCACGTGCATATCCAGCGCGTGGCCTCGGGTTGCTCCGCGTGCGAATTCAGCCGCGCGTGCGTCCAGCCACTGGGCAGGACGGCGGCCAGCACTGGCAGCAGGCCGCCCTCCTGCTCGAGCAGCGCCGCCGGTCTGCAGGCCCCCTCGGACCCCCTCCCCCGCCGCTCACGCCTTCCGAGCCTTGCACGGCGGGCCGAGGCGGCCCGCTCTTTCGTCCAGTGGTGTTCAAGGGGAGGAGTTGGACCACGGGGTTTGAGCCCCATCTGTCGTCGAAGAAGAAGCCGCCATAATCATAAACTTTTGGCGCTCCGCGCGGATTTCTTGGATCCGCGCTGGGCCCCCATCGGCGGCGCCTCCGGCGCCGCCCCTGGCGCGCTCCGCGCGCCAGGGAGGGGGGTCCAGCGCAGATCCAAGAAATCCGCGCGGAGCGCCAAGAGTTTATCTTTGTGCCGTTTTTCCTTCTTCTGTTTCGTCCTCGGGGCCCGCCAGCATCTTATCGGCTGGCCCGCATGGCGATGGAACGAAGCGGTCTGCTGTGGCCGTCGCCTCCGCTCGGCTCAAACCGCCGTGCCAGCCCGCCTCCGGGCGGCCCCTGCGCCTTTGCGCGGGCGTTGCGGCGCCGTGCGGCCCCGGGCATGCGCGCCGTGCGGCCCGGGGCGCCCGCAGGCGTGCAGCTCGGGGGCGCCTGCAGTGGGTGCGGCTCCCGCAGCCGGCAGCCTCGGTCTCGGGGCACGCTGATCGGGGCGCTCTCAGTGACGGCTGCGGCGGCGGTGGCGGCGCCGCCGCCGTCGCCGTCGTCGTCGCCGGCGTCGGCGTCGGCGTCGGCGTCGGCGTCGGCGTCGGCGTCGTCGGCGTCGGCGTCGTCGTCGTCGTCGTCGCCGTCGTCATCGTCGTCGTCGTCAGCGCCGTCGGCGCTGTCAGGATCGCCATCGTAGACCGACTGCCGATCCGTGCATCGTGGTCTGGGTGAAAGCCCTTCAGCTACGGCGGTCAACAATCCGAGGGCCTTTCCATCCTCGTGATCTTGACCTCGCCACTGCGACGATCTTAGAATCAGTTTTTATCCCAAACCTTCTGTGATTGGGCACCCGTGTTGAATAGAGCCGTGCTGCTCGTTCCTTCTCCTCCCACCCCCTCCCATCCCATCATCCCCTTCTCCCCCCTGCCTCCTATCTTCTACCTCCTCCTGCCTCCTGCCACCTGCCTCCTGCCTCCTACCTCCTACCTGTCTGTCTCCTGGGCGCCGGCAGCTGTTGCTACCTGCGCAGCTGCCGGCACTCTCGTGAGCTCTTGGGGGTCCAGCACAGTGCAGTTCTACTCGGATCACATCTCTTGCTGCTCCCGTCCCTGGGCGCTGCGGCTGCACAACTGCCGGCATTTTCAGGAGGACGCGGGGGGCTGAGAGGAGCGAGGCCTTAGAGGGGGCCCAAACGAGACCTCGCCCTCCCCGGGTGCCACACGCGCAGCATTTGCCGCTTTCGCAAGCTCCTGGGAGGCTCCGTGGGGTGATCTCACCCAGCGAGACCTCGCCTTCCCTGAGTGATGCCATCTGCGCACCGGTCGCCACTTTTGTAAGCTCCCAGGAGGTCCAGCGGATCGCCTTTTCCGTGTCCTCCCGGGAGGTCCGGCGGAGCGACGCCGCCTGGGGACGCAAGCGAGACCTCGCCCTCCAAGTGCACTGCCAACTGCGCAAGTATCGCCACTTTGGTGAGCTCCTGGGAGGTCCAGCGGAGTGAGGCTCCACGGGCCGGGGATCCTACCGTGACCTCGCCTTCGCTGGGATCTGCCAAAAAAGCAGCTGTTGGCTTTTTCGTGGGCTCCCGGGAGGCTCCGGGAGGCTCCACGGAGTGACGTCCTACGCAGATCCAAGCCACTACTCCACTCCCTGGGCGCTGCCAACTGCGCAACCGTCGGCACTTTCACGAGCTCGTGGGCAGTTCAGCGGAATGACGTGCTACGCAGATCCAAACTGTTACTCCCCTCCCTGGGCGCTGCCATCTGCGCATTATTTCGTCTTCCACCGGGGCGCTGCCAACTGCGCAGCCGTCGGCACTTTCGGCTCCCCCCTGGGAGGCCAGGGGAGTGCGGTCCTATGCAGATCCGACTTATTTCTCAAGAGGCCTAATGGCATTCCGCCGGCTCCCAGCAGAGGATGTATGCGGCTCCTGATTTCGTATATGTTGTTAGCCGGTTTCCTTTGTGCTGCCTGCGTGTATTTGTTTCTGGTTCGTCCTCTTCTTCCGCGTATGCTGCGGGCTTCTTGGGGGCCTCTTGGAGGTCTCGGGGGCTGCCTCTTGGGACCCAGGGGGTCTGTCAGGGGCCTCTTGGGAGCATGTGGGGGTCTTCAGGGCCATCTTGTGGGGATGGCTCCCGGGGTCCCTGCGAGATCCCTCCCTCTTGGGCCTTTCTTTGGCCCCTCTTGAGGCTTCTTGATAGCCTTTGTTGGCGCCTCGGGGGGCCTGGGGCTCCCGTGCAGCCCGCCCCGTGAAATGTACATTCGTCTTGGATGAGCCCGTTGACGCTGCCACTCGTTGCAGATGAGTGTGATATGCTCCGTGGTAGCTTCACAGCCGTAATCTTGGCCTCGGCTTCGGTCACCTTCATGATCTCGACCAGCCGCTGCTCCAACGATCGGTCGAGATCCAGGCGATCGATCATATCCTCGATCAGCCAGGAGGGACCGGTTTCTTCAAACGGATCGGACCGACTGAATCGGGATCGCAACCAGGCCTGTGGTTGGCCTGCATGTGGAGGTTCCTCTAAGGACATGGGCGTGTGGGCCAGCCGCTTTTGGCGGCACATGTTCGGCTCAGACACGGAGAGCAAAATAGTGATCGTCGGGCTGAACAACGCAGGTAAGACCACGATCCTGTACAAACTGCACCTGGGGCAGGTTATTACCACGCAACCCACCATCGGCAGCAACGTGGAGGAAGTGAAGCACGAGAACGTGTCTTTTCAGGTATGGGACCTGGGCGGGCAGGAGTCCCTGCGCGCAAACTGGTCGACGTATTTTGAGGAGACTGATGCGATCATCTTCGTGGTAGACAGCAGCGACCAAGACAACATGGTCCTCGCCAAGATGGAGCTCTTCAACGTCGTACTGCATGAAGACCTCAAGCACGCTGCGCTCCTGGTGCTGGCCAACAAACAGGACACCCAGACGGCCCGCAACGCTGGCGAGATCGCCCAGGACCTCTCGCTGCACACGATCCGCACGCACGAGTGGCACATCCAGGGCTGCTGCGCGCTGACCGGCGACGGGCTGCACGAGGGCCTAAGCTGGGCCGCCTCCCCTAGGCGCCGCCAAGAGGGAGAGGCCGGCCCTGCGGGAAGCGGCTTAGGACCCCCAGGGCTTGTTCTCCAGGACCAGTCCTGCGGCATCCCGAGCCGCTTTTGGACGGCCCCCGTGCCCGTGGGGCAGGGAGGACGGCGGACGGGTTCCACGGCCCCTCTCCTCCAGGATCCGCCCTCCTCGTGCTCAGCGCAGGGGTCCACTCCTGCATCCCGAGCCGCTCTTGGACGGCCCCCGTGCCCGTGGAGCATGGAGGACGGCGGACGGGTTCCATGGCCCCTCTCCTCCGGGATCCGCGCCACTCGTGCTCAGCGCAGCGGTTCTGCTCCGCCGATCGGCGCTGGATCGTGGACCACGGGGCTGTCGGTCGCATCGATGCATCGAGATCGGGGGGTCGGCCGATCGTCGAATGTGTGATCGGCGCATCGCTCAGCGCCTCGGGGGGGATCGTGCTGACTGGGTCGTTGGAGAGGGGGGTGTGGCACGTCCGTTCGGGAGAGACAGAAAGGCTGATGATGATGATGATGATGATGATGGTGGTGGTGGTGGTGATGATGATGATGATGAGGAGGAGGAGGAGGAGGATGATGAGGCGGAGGTGGAGTATGAGGATGAGGAGGAGGAGGAGGACGAGGAGGAGGAGGAGGACTGAGTGGGGCGCGTCCCTTCGGGAGGGGCCGAGTGCGAAAGACGGAGCTAACGAGCGTGAGGGACGTTCATGCCCCTGCGACTCTCGCTGCGATTAGCGACGGGCGGCTCCCGCAGCGGCTGTCACCCAGGATTTCATGCAAGCAGTCGGTACCAGCATCGCGGGAGGATGGAGCGGCACGGAAGTAGACCGACCTGTCCCTGTCCCCGGCATCTGACTTCTGGACTCTTTGAAAGCGGAGTCCCCGGAATTCTCGACCCCTTCCCGAGGGCTCATCCCGAGCGTTTTTTTGGATTGTCCTTGGGTCAGACAATGGCCCCCAGAGTTTGGAAACCACCCTGTGATGTTGGGTTGTCGTTTTGAAGAGAGGGCGCCCCCCGTCCTCCTCTTTCCTCCTTCCTTTCTTCCTCCTCCCCCTCCTCCCTCCTCCCATTCCTGCCTCTGCTCTCCGCGTGTCCTTTTCGGCACACCGCTCACACGTTTCGCGGCCCTGTGGGGAGATCCACCGAACGCTCCCAGGGGGTGGTACCGCATAGCGTCCCCTAGCCCATGTCGGCACAACCGTCACACGTTTCGTGGCCCCACAGAGTGCTGGGTGCTCCATGGAAGGGGGTGGTACCGCATAGCGCCCCAAGCCCATGTCGGTACAGCCCTTACAAGTTTCGTTGCCCTATCAGGGGCTTCACCGAAGCCCCCAGAGTGGCTACCTCACAGCGTCCCCCAGCTCACGTCGGCACACCCCTTACACGTTTCGTGGCCCCATAGGGAGCTTCACCGAATTCCCAGGGGGTGGTACCGCATGGCGTCCCCCAGCCCATGTCGGGGTGGTACCGCATAGCGCCCCCAGCCCATTTCGGCACACCCATCACGCAATTCGTGGCCCAATAGGAAGCTCCACGTAAGGCCCCAGTTTGTGCGTCCACATGTGGCGCTCAGTCCATGTCGGCGCATTCGTCACGCGTGTCGTGGCCCCAGATGGAACTCCACTTGGCGAAGGCCCCAGTCGGTGCGAGAACAGCGGTTCCCCTCCACTTCGGGGCACCCCTGACGTTTTGTCCCCAGAGGGTGCGCCCACATGCGGCTCCCCTCCATGTCGGCGCACACTAGACCCGTTTCGTTGTCCCATAAGGAGATCCCCCTCGCGCCCCACCTGACTTGAGGTACTCACACTTGCATATGGGCCCCGTAGCTCCCAAGCCTCAGTCAGCAGGGCTTATCGTCGGGGTCGTTTTGATTCGGTGGCCTGGCCGAGATCGCAAATCAAAAGTCCCGCTGCGATTTCATTCCGCGACGCCCGGTGGGTCTGGGCTCCAAGGTCGCTGCGCGCGTGAAGGCCAAGCACCAGCGCACCGCCGCTGCCCTGAACGCGGCCGCCTCGGCGACCCAGGCCGGCCAGCGCCCGTCTCGCTCCGATCGGCCCAATCCGATGCTGTTCGACTTCGGCTGGCCCGATCCGATTGGTGCGTCCTGGCGCGGCCGATCCGATTCGATTCCGACTCCGTGCCGGTGCGGCCCGATCCGACGAGCACCCCGACTCGTTCTGGTTTGCCGATTCGATGCTGACCCATCCTGCCCAGGCGCCGCCGCCTGGTGGCTGAGCGCGAGGCGTAGAGGGGCCGCGAGGATCCGCCGGCCATCTGGGGCGCAGCGGGCGGCAACCGCGGAGGCCCCCCGAGGACACTGCGGACGGGGATGCGAGCTGTGCCCGAGCGGTTGCGAGCCCCCCTCTCCGCTCCCGCTCCCGTCATCGTCTCCAGGCGTGCGCGCGTCGTGAAGAAACACGCGACGGGTCCCCGGGACAGTCGACAAGCGACCCGGGAAGAAACACCGGCCATGGGGACAGGGTCAGGGACCCCGTACTGAGCAAATCAAGATATCTGTTGTCTGGGTCAGAACCAACCGGGTCCCCCCTAGGACAGGGTAGGTCAGCTCTCCCAGCTCACCCCCTCCAGCCTCCAGGTGGGGATGGTTGCGGCGATGCCTGACGGATGCGGCACCCGTCCCCACCTAGGTTGGCAGACTGGCAGCCGATCCGATTCGATTTCGACTCTGTGCCGATGCAGCCCAGTCCGATGTTCTTTCCGATTCTATCCGATTTCCCGAACCGATGCCGACAGATCCTGGGACGGGGTCGGGGCCCAGTGAGGCTCCTGGAAATTTCAAGATGCCGAGAAATGTGCGGACCACGACCTCCGCCTCGATTCTTCCCACGATTTGCAGAAACCATCGGTACATCACACCCGTGCCTTGCCAGAGCCATCCGGGACAGTAAGACGGTGCACGGACCTCCTGGCCTCGGGCAGGAAGGCGCACACACCGTGCCAGGGCCCAGGATGGTCCTGTCCAGGCACGGTGGTGGTGGATGGTTGCTTTCTCCTTGTCCTCGACGTCCTCTCGCTGTTCTCCACGGCCTCCTTCCCGCCCTTCCCGGGTCCCGCCGCGCCCCCCCCTCCCTCCCCCCGAGGTCGGGGGCGAACAAGAGGGGGGGGGGGATATGACTAGGGGGGGATATCATGGCTGGGGCCATGACATCTCCCCGATTTCATGGCCCCCTCTTCTTCTTCTTCTTCTTCTTCTTCTTCTTCTTTCATTGCGTCCCCTGGCCCCCCCTCGTCCGCGCATATGCCGCTGGCCGTGACTTGTGACCCCCCCTCTTGGACGGCCCCCCTCTTGGACGCCCCCGACGAGGAGCCGGGGGGTCTGGGGCCGAGCGCCCCGCGCCGACGACGGCGACCAGGGCTCGACCGGCGGCGGCCGCGGCGACGGCGGTCTCCTCCCGCTCACCGGCGGCCTCCTCCAGCCTCCGGGGGCCCGCACCCGCCCTCCCCCCCGCTGCGCCCCGAGAACGGATGGGCCCGAGAAAGGAGAGGAACAACTCGCCCCCCCTCCTGCTGCGCCTCGCTGCCCTCTCTCCCTCCTCTCCCTCGTGGCCGGTGCTTCGCATGTTGGAGTCCCCTGTCCCCCAGTGGGAAAGCTGAGAATTGTCATCATCCGCGCAATGGCTGTATGGAAAAGTATAATGGTTCATCACAGTGCAACTGTTAGCCAGCGTGGACCCCAGGCATCGTACATGGTACAATTGATGCGGTGCACCCCGTATTGTGCAATCTAGGAGGTGCAGTCTATGTTGTGCAATCCATGTTGTGCAATGCATGTTGTTCAATATTTGTGGTAGAGTCTATGTGTGCAATCTGTGTGGTGTTCAATATGTGTTGTGAAGTCTATGTGGTGCAATCTATGTGGTGCAACCGAAGTGGTGCAATCTATGTGGTGCAATCGACGTGGTACAATATATGCGGCGCAATCCATGTTGTGCAGTCTGAGTGGTGTAAGGCAGAGCAATGCAAACCACTCGAAAGCAGTGCAAAGTAACGCAGGTAAGACAAGTCACATGATTTCAGTGCAATGCAATGCAAAGTAACGCAAATCAGTGACAAGAAGCGCGAAACATAGCAACACACTGCAAAGCACTGCACATCAATGCAAAGAAGCGCAACTCAATGCGAAGCAATGCACAGCGGGCGGAGATGAGGCGACGGGCGGCGACCAGGCGGCGACGGCGGCGACATGGCGGCCAGAGCGGCCCGCAGGCTTTGGCAACGGGCGGCGACTGGGCGACGAAGGCGGCTACACAGCCGCCAGACCACCGCGCAGGCTTAGTTCCTTAGAGAACGAAGCAAGAGAGAGAGAGCCCCTGAGTGCAAGCACCTTTTGGGGGATCTGTGCATCTCAGTTCCTGGCGCTTCCGTCTGTGAGCATCTGAGTGAGAGAATTTTAGCCTGTGGCACCGGAGCGATCCCTGGCGGCTCCCCGTTTGGAGTGGCCAAAGGATATGCCTTCTGCATCGGGATGCTCTTGGGGCTCTGGAAAGAGAGGGGTCGAGGGTATCTAAGCCACGCGCGATCTGCTCTGAAAGCAGGGGACTCTCAGGCACGAAACGAGCAAACCTCCCGAGATATCCCCACACAGTTTGACCGCGCACGGGGGAGTGATATACCCTTGGGGTTTCCCCCTTGGGGTGCTGAAGGCAAACGCCTCGGTCGTCACATCCTGGCGATCTGCTCTGAAAGCAGAGGGGTCCTAGCCGCGAAAGCGAGCAAGCCGCCGGAGACATCACCGGAATGTGGCCGCGAACGGGCGCGTGTAAAATACCCCCTTGGCGGCTCCTCCTTGCGCTGCAAGAATCGCAGGCCCAGAGGTTAGCACCAACACCAATTTCGGCGGTGTGCCTCCACCGATGGGACGAAGATCCCGATCTCGGTGCGGGTGGTACTATTCTGGCTTCCAGGGTGACCGAAATACTACCACCAGCACCGAGATCTAGGATCCTTTTTCCCCTTGTGAAGGCAGACCCCCTGTGTTGGTGGGGGGGCCCACTTCCAGGCCTCCAGAAAATTAACCCGCGCGCCACGTGGCGGTGACCCTGGGGCTGTCAAAGAGGATGATCTTTGGGGGGTAGAAACAGGAAGCCGCTCGTGACAGCCCCAGAATCTGGCCGCCAGCGGGCGAGTGTAATACCCCCAGGCGGCTCCTCCCCGCGTTGCAAAAATAACCCGCGTGCCACGTGGCGGTGATCCTGGGGCTTTCAACGAGGATGATCTTTTGGCGGGGTGTAGGAACCGGAAGCCGCCTTGTGGGAGGGCGCCAGGGCCATGATGGAGGTGCTGCGAATGAGGTTTGGCACCAGCACCATCAGAGTGGTGTTCGTAACGCTTTCGCCCTGGAGACCTGGACCCCAAAACGTCTCTGTGAGCACCACATTTGTGATTCCGAAGTCTGCCAGCTCTGTCAAGGAGCTCCAGGCACATTGTTCCACAGAAGGTTTGAATGTCGAGCCCTTGACGCGGACAGGCGCGAGTACCTCCCGGGGCAGGTGCTTGAGGCAGCGCTGAATGCACGAGGTTGGGACAGGATCTAGAGAAGTTTGCCGCAGGAGTCCTCCCTGATCCTAGAGAGCTGACGCCCCCGCCGCTCAAAGCCAGCCAGTGTCACATTCATTGGTTTACCCGCCCACAGAGCGGCAAGTTGAGTGGTTTGTATTTTTAGTGATGGATCGGCTCTCAACCCCATCTCCGCCAGATTTCGCCGCGCGGGATGGTCGTTATGCATGGTTGTCCCTCTGGTGAGCTCTTTGCTGCTGTATGCGGGGCTGTTCCTGTAGATTACGCACCGAAGCAGCAGGCTCGTGATGGCGAGGATTACCTCTATTTTATGCTCGCTGGCCTCGCCGAGGGTGACTTCCAGGTCTGGACTGACTGCGAGGGGACTCCGGGGTGTGTCTGGGACCGTTGGCCCTCGGTCAGCTCTGGCAACCCTAGGGCCCACCTGTGGTCGAGAGTTTGGCACGTGTTCGAGGATGGGCTGACTGCACACAAGACCTTGGGCCACGCCAGTTTCAATGATATAGTCGAAGGCCGCTCCGCCCACTTTGAGAGAGGGAAGCAAGCACGCGGATCGATTCGCGAAGCTTGGAGCGGCGTCACATCCGTCGGTCGACAGTGCTCAGGCTAGATTTGACGAATTCGTCAAGTTGCAAGAGCATCTGTGCAGATGGGGGGGGCCATCCAAGATGTCCTCACGGTTCAGAGAAGCTGGACCGACTCCGAGGGGTTCCCTGCCAAGTTTGGCTCTCATGAGCACGAGGACTTCGGGAGCCCCGGCAGGAATCCCCTCAGACGTGTCCCTAGAGCTGTTCGTTCCAGGCTGGCCAGGGAATATGATCCTCCTGGCTGCCGCCACACCTTGTTAAGTTTCAGAGTTCCCTTGTTCCTGGACTCAGCGCCTGTCGCCTCCTCGGAGAAGGCACAGTCGGAGGCGCGAGTCCTGATGCTCTTGAAGGCCAGAATCTTGTCATGATGAAAGCGTAGGACGGGGGTGGAGCTCGGGTGGGCGGTTGTGGTTGGGTGACGTCGTGCCTGAAGTGCGGGGGCTACGCGTGGGCGGGACTGGACAGTTTGTGCCGAATCTGCCCTAACGCGCCCCAGACCTTAAGCAGCAAATGTCCAGGTTTTTGCGAGGTCGCTTCCCAAGTTGGGCCAAGCAGTACCGTGAGTGGTCTCTCACCGAGCCTCGGGTGCCCTCCCCCCCGGACATCCTTGATTTTGTCAGAGCTGCTAAGAAGGGTGCTGTGGTCCTTGAGGAGCAGGTCCCTGGTTTTGTTTCTGAAGACCCAACCTGGGGTGAGCGATGGGATGTCCCCCAAATGCTCACCAGGTTTGGCCTGATGCAGGCTCCCAGTCCAGACCCGCTGAGCGGGGACTCGGATTAAGTTTGTATGTTGCTCAGGGCGTCTGGCATCGACAGACGCTTCCACGGAGTACAGTACAGCACAGGAACCGGAAGTCGCTTGTGTGACAACCCCCCAGAAGCCGGCCACCAACGGGCGCGAGTGTACTGGTGCCCCTGGCGGTCCCCCCCCTTTGGGGGGGTCCCGCTGCGCTGCGCCTGCTGTGGCGCTGTGATCCTGGGGCCTCCAGATCAGACGGATCTTGGGGCAACGACAGGCACGCCGCTGGAGATATTTGTTTTACAGTCTTGGCGCGACTGGGCGAGAGTGTGGGAACCACGTGGCGGCTCCCCCCCCCTTGAGGTGCTATAAAATATCATGCCTGCCATGTCGCGGTGATCGTGGGGCTTTCAAAGGGGAGGAGTCTTGGGGGCAAAGCAGGCAACCCGTTTGAAACGTCCAGGCGCTAACAACCCACCCCTGGTGGCTCCCTCCTGGGGTGCTCAAATGCCACGTCTGCTCTGTCGCCGTGGTAGTTTTTTTTTTTGTTGTTGTTGTTGTTGTTGTTGTTGTTTGTTTTTTCTCTCCCTTTCTTTCTGAAGAGTGAAGTCTGGAGGCCCAAACTGGCAACCCGCTTGAGACGTCCCCGCGATCTGGGCGCGAATGGTGGACTGTAAAACCCCCTGGGGCTCCCCTTTGGGGTGCTTAAGTGCCACGCTTTCCACGTCGCGGAGATCATATTGTGAATGTGATCATACTCTGAGTGGTATGTGCGTTTTCTTTTTTGTGTGCGAGTCTGAGTATGAGTTGGTTGGGTATGAGCGGGTCTGAGTTGGAGTGGTCTGTGTATGGGCGAGTCTGAGCATGAAGAAGTCAAAGTATCAGTGGATCTGAGTGATGGTGAGTCTGAGTATCAGGAGATGTGAGTGTGGAGTGTGATCGAGTCTGTAAGTGCGTGAGCCCGAGTCTGAGTGATCTGAGTGCGATGAGAGGGAGCAGAAGACAGGAATGAGTGAGAGAGTGAGTGACTGAGGAGGTGGAGGCGTCCCAGCAATAGCACCCCCAGACTTCGGATACGGGGAAAACAATAATCATATAATTGGCAGAGAAATATTAAGACGAATCGGAGCAATACGAATATTGGGAAAAAGCTCCATAACAGCAATAAGAAGAAGAGGGCTGACCTCTTCACAGCAGCATCTTCTTCCTGGTTTGTTCACACCGCGTCGCGTCGTGAGAAGATCAAGGCGGAATGTTTTCGACCGTCTTCGGCCTCCTGGTGTACTTCCCGGGCGCCGTGACCGTCAAACGACGATTCGGGATGCAAATCCGGTCCTGGGGAAGTGGGGTGATCTAGACCTCCAGGGATCCCCGTTGCCAGAATTCACGGGGTCTGGGTGCCTTATGCAAGTGCGCCTCGGAGCCCGAGCTAAGAGCTTTCCGACTATGTCAATCTGGACCCTGCGCTTGGCTTGCAGCACCGAGCTCGTTATGCAGTTCGTGTGCAGCTCCTGCTTCGCAGCCGCTGGGCCTTTCTGCCTCGGTGTCTCCAGGCAACCGCTTCCCCGCCGTACCCCCAGGAGCATGCATGCCGCTACCGTCGCACCGCATGCTACGATCAACAAGCTGCGCACCAAAGGTCACTCGTGCGTGTCGGCGACCCTTGTTTCGCGCTCCCCACCCTCCCCTCCATTCTCCCCCCTCCCCTCATTCGCCCTCCTGCATCGCCCCCCTCCTTGCCTTGTGCACCGCACCATTTTTTGATCCACGGGCAGCAGGCCAACCTTGCCTAAGTTTTGGATGGATCTGGCCGCCTCGCCAATCTCAAGACATCCGTCTCTCAGATGCTTTCGATGCGAGGGCGCCCAGACCTCTCGACCTATTCCCCGAGGCACTTTTTCTGTCCAGGCTATGTTTTGATGGTCCCGAGGCTAGTGGCCTCCCGAGGCCAAAAGCGGCGACAAGCCGGCCGCATCGACTTTTTCGAGGCGTTGGCTGTCTGGGCCGGGCCGCACTCCGTCGCCCCAGTGGTGCTGCGCCGCCCTGCCCTCCTGCAGGGGAAGAGAAAAGGGACACCGCCACCACCAGGCGCGGGTAGGCGTGCCACCCCCAGGGCGAGGAGGTCCGCGCTGCCTCCCCGAGCTGGCGACAGGGGCTGCCTCGAGCGGGGAGGGGGAGCCGCACCGCCAGACCGCCAGGGGGAACCCTCCTGGCTCCTCGCCCCGGTGGGGGCGTCGCTGCTCCTGGCTCCTGGCTCCTCTGCCCTTCCTCGGCCCGTCGGGCGGAGGCCGCTCGCGCCCCGCTCACAGATGGCAGGCCCTGGCGCCGCCCCCCCCCCGCGCGCGCGTCCGGTCCCGTTCGATTTGCGATCTCGAGCCGACGCAGCCCGATCCGACGCTCGTTCCGGTTCCATCCGATCTCCCGATCTGGCACGGACCGAGCCTGCCCCCCCCTTCCACGCCACCGCCGCGCCTCCAGAGCGCGCCGCGGGTGCCCGGGGCCTTCGCAGGAGGAATTCCGGGCGCGCACGAGGCCCGTGGCGCGGGGGGGTGGGCCCTCCGAGAGGGCTGGGGGCTTCCTCAGGGGACGGTGGCCTTCTTCGAAGAGCCCATGCAGGGGTTCTACGAAGGCCTTTCAGAGGCCAGGAGGGCTTCTCAAGGCCCCCCTGTGCACTCTGTCTGAATACATTTACCTGTCTCAGCCTCCAGCCAGGTGGCGACACCAGTACAGTCATCGGACTCTGTATCCAACTACCAAGGGCAATCGCAGGACAACCAAGGAGCAAGTGCGGCCCAAACACGGGAGCCACGCACTGAGCACGGAACAGCCCTCGGACAGCCACAGGGAGGCTGGAAGACAACCCGTGGGGGGGGCATGTTCTGGCCCCAGGGAGTGAGCTCGTGACACGCCCGCAGCCAAAGGATGATCCCCCCTCTCGCGCTCGTGCAGCTTTCCCTTGCCCGCACGCGCGGCCTGAACCGAAACCGAATTCGATTTCCTGTCGGGGGACTCTCCGTCTCACTTGCGTCTCGCCCCCCCCAACCTCCAGTCGCAAGCAGCAACGCAACAGCCAGTTCGGCATCCGCGAGCACGCTCGCGTGCGCGATGCAACTACCGCGTGGAGCACAGAGGGCGCCCACGCTCGCATTGCAGGAGCTGACCAGCTATTCGATCACTCGCGCATTGAGCTATACCCGCCTCTCAATGCTGGCGTCGTCGACCTCGCGACGTTGTCAGCCTTTCCTCTTGTGAGAGGCACTTCAGACAGTCTTGCTACGGCACTCGTCACTGTTGTAACCTTTTGTGCGGTTATGTGCTTCTGGCTGTTCCCAGGAGTCTGCAGCCTGCAGGGCCCGACTAAAAGCCGAACCCGGGAAGCCACGTGCCCAACTCTGGCGGTTCCGTGCGAACCCAGGAGTTCTTCGGCCGAAACTTCGAATCGATTCGGCCGACACCTCGGAAGGGTTGCGCTCGAGCGTGGGGGCGTGTTTCTGGGCTCAAGGTTCGCTGGCGTGAGCTTCGGGCTTAGCCTTTTGCTGACCAGTTCAGGGCCGTTACGAGGTACAATGGCCGACATCCCATCCAAACGGCGCTCTCGCCGCGAACCGGGCGGGCAATTCTCCTGCGGCGACACCTGCGCGTTGTGGCCAGCTTTAGCGTGAAACGTGAGGACGTCTCAGGCGAAACATCAGTTTTGCACTTCAAGCGCACATGCCAGACAACATCGGCGAATCGAGCACATTTTCTGTTCGATATTCAAGACGGCAACAATGTCTCGGCGTATTTGGCCTGCTGTAGGAATAAATGAAGCCTTTTTCGAATGCACGTGGAATGCACGCCGAGCATGGATCCGGCGAACAGTGTGAACCTTTTCAAGCCCCTCCTCCTCCTCCTCCTCCTCCTCCTCCTCCTCCTCCCGCGTCACGTCCCTCGGAGCCTCTCTGACTCAGAGATGGATGTCGCGGTGTCCACGAGGGGCGAAAGACAAGGACGAGAAGAGTGGCAGATGGGCGCACGTCCGGGGCGCCGCGCCGCCCAGCAGCACCATGGCCCAGGAGGCCCAGTGCCGGATGGGAGCCCAACCGCGCGGCAGCCCACCCCCCCGCGGCTGGAGCCCATGGAGCTCGGCAGGGCGTCCTCGGGGGTGGGGTCCGCCGACACGACGCTGGACGTCGGGAGGGGGCGAGAGCAGCAGCGACGCGCCGCTGCCGGTCAGACCCAGACACATGCTCGCGCCGTCAAGTTTAGGCCAGGCCCAGGCGTGCTGGGCTGGGTCCCTCGCGGCGGCGCGTCGCCTAGGTCCGGGCAAGGCCTGGGCATGCTGGTCTTGCCCAGACCCAGACGGTGCGCCGCCGCTGGCCAGCCGACGCTGGACGTCGGGAGCGAGCAAGAGCAGCAAGCGTGCGCCGCCGCTGGGCAGACCTGCCGTCGGGAGCTTTTGGATAGCGTGTCGCTCCGCTGGTTCAGGCCCACCATGCTTCGGGGCGACATGCTATTCGCTTCCCAGCCCCGAGCCTTTCCCTGCCTCCTGCGCCGCGGAGCATAGCGACACGCTATCCGCTCGCAAGGCGTGGCGTGTCGCTGGGGCCGTCGTTGCGACACGCTAGCCAAGTTCCCGTCCGTAGACGTACTCGCGTCGTGAAGAAATCACGACGACAGGGGTTCGCCCGTTTGCGGCCTGCGGGGGCCCTCGCCAGGCCCTGGTTCTGTCAAAAAACGACCCGGGATGACAAATTGGCCTGGGGGAGCGGGTCAGAAGTGAGGACCCTGTAGTGAACCAGTCAACACATCGGTTGTCTGGGGCCAGAGGAGGACAAGGTACCAATACCACTGCCCGTCCCTTGTCGCCACGGCTGGATTCGCATCGAAATTCTTGCCAGAACGCTTCCTGGGCGAGGTTTGGGGAGTTGAGGTATCAGCAACCTTTTGCCCCCCCCCAGTTTACAGCCCGTCGGCGTGCTGCTTCTTCGTTGCTGCCTGAAGACGTGGTGGGTTTTGAGCAGTCGGGGGAGCGCGCAAGGCTCGAGCTGACCCAGGCTCCGGCTTGCTGCCACTCCTCGACGGTCCCGATCGGAGTTTGGGTGGCCCAGTCTTCGCGAGATGTCCGGAGCGGGTCCCCCCACCTCGAGCCTTGCGTATCGGCGGCGAGCGAGGGGGGAAGGTGAGAAGAAGAAGGCCTTCTCAGAAGGCGGCGGGACTTCTCAGAAGCCCTCGCGCCTTCTAAGAAGCTTGATGTGTCTTCGAGGTAGGCTTAGAAGTTCTAAGCCTACCGCGCCTTCTAAGTTAGAACTAACTGTTCAGAAGCCCTCGCGCCTTCTAACTTAGAAGGCCTTCTCAGAAGCCCTCGCGCCTTCTAAGTTAGAACTAACTGTTCAGAAGGCCCGGGAACTTCCGAGCCTTCCAAGAAGGCCTTCTCCTTCTCGCTTCCCCCCCTCGCTCTCCGCCGAACGTAGTAACACTCTGATCGTTTCCCCCACCGTGGCGTGCCATTGATTTTGCCTTTGCTCACCCCTGAGGACAGTCCGAGCCTGTCGAGGCCGTCGCGGCCCTCTACGCGGTTCTCGTCTTTCGGGTTCCAGGGGGCCATGCCCAGACACCTCACGCCCCGAGCAAAATCGGGGCGGCCTGCCTGATCGCCACATTTTTGGCCACTGGAGGCCGGTTCCGGGCTGCGGGGCCGTCAGAAAACGGCTCGGGACGAAAAGTCGGCTCTGGGGAAGGGATTGAGTCCCGGGGGCCTCAAGATTACCCGCGCCTCCCCGCGCCTTGGAATCATCACGACGTTTTTTTTGTTGGTTGCCAGTTTTCGCCTTCAGGGGCTCTTGCCAGCCCCCGAGACTGTCATCATGACTTTAGTTGGCTGGCTGTTTTTTACTTCGAGTGGATTCGTGATTAAAGACTTTCTTGGGGAAGGGATTAGATCTTCAGAAATCCACCACATCAAGACGTCGGGGCGAACGATTGAACATCAGGGCACTCCGCTCTTCCGCCCTCCTGCCTCCCTTGTTCTTGTTGTTTGGGATCTTTTGTGTTGCTGGTTTCTTTGGGAGAAAGATGGCGGATGGAGGCATTCGTCGTCTGTGGTTTTGAGTCCGCAGGTTCGTGGACTTGCTGCCAGATGGAAGTCCGCAGAGGCCTGCCTCACCATGGGGCAGGGCCCTATCTCCGAGGACAGGGAGCCTGGACGTGCCAGGGACCCGGCGGAGGTTCTCCACCACCTCGTCGGCGTCGTCGGACCCGCAGCTCCCCAGGCGTGCGAGCTACTGCAGCTGGTCGCCCTCCCTTCAGAGTGACCAGGGGCGAAAGACCAACCGAGAGAGTACCCGCGGCTCCGCGGAGAGGATCTCTAGGCCTCCCAGAAGGGGTCCGAGCAGACGGGGTCGGAGGATCGCGCCGCAACGCCGATGCATCGGCGATGCGGCTCGATGCGGAGCCCGATTTTCTCCACCCCGATGGCGCTGATGCATCGAAGACGTCGCCGATGCATCGCCGATGCATCGGCGATGTATCGGCGGTGCGGCGCGATCCTCCGACTCTATCTACTCGTACCCCGTGTCGGATGCCTCTATAGGAGCTCGCGACTCTTCTCCATCAGGCGGTCTGGCATCCGGAACTCTGTCTCCGTGGACCAGTCGATCGCCAGGCACAGCTTCACGCCGCCCGACCCGACCGGCGTGGCCGTCGCGCGATCGAGGTACGCCAAGATGCGAGTCCACTTCACGAACTTCTGCAAGGCTCAGCAGCGTCAGTCATATCCCCATTCCCAATGGGCCAGGACTCCTTACTGCCACCAGGTATATGTCCCCACCCGGGCGGGTAGGACGGACCGCGTGGCACGGCTTTCCCAGTGGGGATGGGGATAGGTCTAACGATGCTGAAAGGCGGTCATCGATAACAAGGTGGTCACTGGCTTCATGACGGCGCTGACCCTGTATGTGCTGGTGGGCGATGACATCAGGCTCAGCGCCTTCGATGCCAGCGCCGACAACGTCTTTGACTGGATCACCATCGTCTCCTTCTGCCTCTTCTCCGCCGAGCTGGGGCTGCAGACTGTCGCAAAGGACGGCTATTTTCTGGGCTTCTGGTTCTGGGCCGACCTCTGTGCCTCCGCGTCGCTCATCCTTGACTTGAAGGTCGTGGCGGACGCGATGATGGACAACCCGACCATCACAGTAGAGCACGCCAGCGCGGGCGGGAATGCGGCCAGCGCGGATCAGACGGAGTACGCCCGCGCGAGCCGCTCCAGCCGCCTGGGCACGCGCGTCGCGCGGCTGCTGCGCGTGGTTCGCCTGGTGCGCATGAGCCGCGTCATCCGATGCTTCCAGAGCTTCGTCACGAACCGGACGGATTCCAGCGAAGTTGCGCCGGGCGAGCCTGCCTATCTCAGGGAGGGAGAGGCCGAGTCGCGAGTCGGGAGGAAGCTGTCCGAGCGCACGACCACGCGCGTCATCGTGCTTGTGCTCGTGATGCTCGTCGTGGTGCCTCAGCTGCAGCAGTCGGAGTTCACCGTGATGATGGACCCGGGGGCACAGTACGGTGCCAACGTGCTGCTGGAGGCTTGGCGCCAGTACGAGCTCACGGCCCTGGAGAGCCCTCAGGCGGCCGCTCTCCTCGACCAGAAGCGCTGGGAGTGGGAGCTGGAGATGCTGACCTACATCTACTACCACAACTGGCATGCTGAAGCGTGCCCCACCAGCAACTGTGCCTCCGAGTGGCTGGACAAGCTCTGTTGGGTCGGGTTCGTGCACCGAAGCGACGCGGTCCTGGACGCGGTGGACGTCACCTCGCAAGCCTACATCAAGGCGATCGCTGAGAGCGGCACCGAGTGGGACACGCTGTTGGCGGACGGCGACCCTCACAGGCGGATGGGCTATGCTGTAGGGAGCCTCCCAGAGAACGTCAAGGCAGCGCTGTCGAGGCCGTGGGACGCGCCGTGTGACGAGGCAGGCTCCTCGTCCAGGATCCAGGGAGTGTCCCTGATCCCCGGCCTGCCGTGCCCCCGGCAGGAGCTGCGAAAGCAGGAGACCGTCTGGTACGTGCCGCAGGTTTACGACAAGGCTCGAGGAGCCACAGGCAGCATCATCACAGCCTCTCGCAGGCCCACGCGGACTTCTGCTGGGGTAGGCGTTGGACCCGCCCTGGCCGCGCCTCTGGAGAAGCCCGCAGCGCGCTCCGCAAACGCCGTGGGAGGGAGGTCCAGCGCCGACCCAAGAAATCAGCGCGGACCTCCGAATGTCTACGATTGTGCCATTTCTTGCTCCTCTAAAGGCCTTCTTCGTGAACCACATGGAGGCGCAGTTCGTTCTGGTGTACGACCTCAGGGACTACGTTAGGGCGGAGGCCAACTTCAACATACTGCAGACCGCCTTCGTCGTGCTGGTGCTCGGGATTGCCGCCCTGCTCTTCAGCAGGGACGTCGACAGGCTCGTGCTGCACCCGATCGAGAAGATGATCCGCAAGGTGGAGATAATCCGGAAGGACTGGCCCGTCCGAGAGATGGGGACCGTGAGCTCGTCCTCGGCCGACTCCGCCCCCTGCCTCCGCCGCCTCCGCCTCCCCCTCCCTCGGGCGGCGGCCATGGCCGAGCCTCTTGGGCCGTGGAGGCCCGAGATGCTCAGAGACGGCCGCGCGCCGCGGGCGGGCGCGCCCGGCTGGCGCGCCCGACTGGCGCGCCCCGGCGCGGGGTGGAGGCCGACGTGGTCCTCCCGGCCGATGTCTCGGCTGCAGGAGAGAGCAGGGAACATGTCAGGGCGGCGCGGGGCGGGCAGGGGGCAGGCCTGGGCAGGGGCCCTGCCTTCTGGTCGCGCAGGACAGGGCCTGTGCAGTCTGCGGGTCACGCGCCTGCGCCTCCTCCTCGTCCCCCCAGAGGGGCGCCGAGACGTGCGGCCGCCCCACCCGTCCTAATGAGCCGAGGTCCCGAAGACGTGCGCCGCCCCCGTCCTCGGCAGCCGTGTCCGCGGCACCGCGGGGTAGGTCGGCGGAGTGCTGCCCGCGCGCGCGCGTCTGCGCTCGGAGGAGCTGGCATGTCAGAGGAAACGGCTTCCATGGGGCATACCCTGGAGGCGCCTCCTGCTTTTGCTGCCTCTCCTCATCCTCCTCCTCCTCCTCCTCCTCCTCTTCCTCCTCCTCCGTAGCTATTTTGGCTCAAGGGCTACCGAGCCTATCAGTGGCTCCTGGTGGCTGCGCGCGCCCGCCCTCGAGCGAGACCCGTTGGGATGGTGCCGCCTGCTGGATCATAGTGGCCCGCATCCTCTACCCGGGCATTTCCCACCCCTGCGCGGGCGCTGCTTCGCGCAGTACTTCTATGCCGAGCTGCCGATCCTGGGTGGCCGCCTCGGCCGCGGGAGCCTCGATCTCCGCCGCTCAGTGACGCCGCCGCGAGCGGGATGCCTGGTATCCTACTTCCCATAATGCTCCTGGGAAGACATTCGTCGAAGTGGACGTGGTCGAGAGGGCAGACGTGAAGCGCATGGCCCGCGGCAAGGCCCTCCACCGTTTGGATGACGAGGATGGGATCGCGCACGGGATGACCCCTGCCGCTTCTGTTAAAGTGGCTGCGCACTGAGCTTTTCGCCGAAGGACGCTCTCAACTGCCGCCCATGCCGCTGTTCGAACGACGCTGGAGTTGGCGGACGCCGCCAAGCACCGGCACACAGCTCTACAAGGCCTACCTGCGCTTGCTGCGACGCTATCTGCTGGAAGCCGAGATCGCGGGGGACGTCGGGACCGCGCTGGAGACCGTGATCGCTCTGGAGCCCACAACCATGCTGGACCTCAGGGCCGCGCTGGTGGTCGGGACAATTCTGCTGGTTCTCGACCACGCCGGGCTCATGTACCTGCCGACGGCGACGATGACGCTGCAGTGCACGACCGAGCCCCGCCTAGAGCGGGAGTCCAGGCTTGCGCCGATTCGACGGCGCTCACCGCCGACTCCTCTTCGCAAGCCGTGGAGGAGCCAAACTCGATCGACCTCCTCATTCCGTGCATGGCTAAGCTCACGAACGCGATGAATGAGCTCATCCTGCGTCGTCCACAATGTGGACCCGTGCGCCATGGGCTTCACCAGCTGCACCTCGGATTGCGCCGACGCCTACGCTTCGCACGCCAACTGCTCCATGTGGCATGCTGTTCGTGCTGGTGTTCCTCTGTGCATGGTGATTTTGCTGTCAGGGGCTCCGTTGGCCCCATGGTGCACGACATCGATTTCGAGGTTGAGCTGGCGCTGTTTGAAGAACGAGCTGGTCGTGCTGTCGCCGATGACTACCCCGCGAGCTACGCCAGCGCCGACTCCGCCCCGCACGCCGCCTGCTCCATGGACTACACCACGGCGCCTGAGGTGCCCCTGGACTGTGAATCTTTCCTGCTTGACGGAGCCCGTCATTTTCGAGGATCGTGTTCGGGAGCTCACGGTGGATCGTGACCCTCGGCTGGGTCTTCTTGGCGACGAGGCTGCTGGCACAGGTGAAGACCGTCGCGGTCTGCGGGCGGCTCTGCGCGTCGTTCGTGCGAGTCCCTCCGAAGACGATGACGATCCTGCACGTTCTGCTGTTGGCAGTGCATCTCTACAGGATGCTGGCGCCGAGTTACCTGCTGCTGGTGCCGACCCTGCCCTGCTCCATTGGCGCCGTGCTCGTGCTGCGTGCGATTTCTACTGCCTGAAGGTCCTCCCTGTGGGCCCGTGGATATTTACTCGTTCGGCATGCCGCTGCCATCCGCGTTGCGCACTCGGCGACGACTGCTACGACATCCACCTGACAGAGCTCGCAGACGAGGCACTTGCTGCTGAACGCGCGCGCCTTTGCAGCCTCCAGCCTGCGCGTGCCGACGCTCAGCCGATGACCGTGGCGCTCTGGCTGGCTCATGCTGCCGGCCGCACTGTCCCGCAGGTGCGCGCCCTGGTTAGTCAAGCTGCCGATGGCGCTGCTGAGGTTGCGGCTGCTGCCCACGCTCTCCCTGTGCTTCTGCCGCCGCCTGGCGACGCTGCTGGCGCACCTCCTGTGCTGCAGCCTCTTGCAGGGCTTCTGCTACATGTCGGTGGCGCTGCTTTGGGTCCTGCCGCTGCCGATCCCGCTCTCCCTGAGCTTCTTCCTCCACTGGACGAGACTGCCGGCGTGCTCTCTGCACCTCTGCCTCCTGCTGAGCTTGGGCATCCTGTCGACGGAACTGCTGCAGGTCCTGCTGCTGCTGTGTCTCGCGGCGCTCTGAGAGATGGTGCCGTTCGTGGTTGTCCTCTGGCTGGTCCGAAGAAGATGACGATATAGAGAAGAAAGCTACGAACGGCACCACGGACAAGGAGGCTCACGTGCACGGCTCGGCTACAGCGTACAGAAGGGGAGGAGGACAAAGAAGGAGAAGCCGGGGGATGAAGCTCGTCGTTGGGTTCTTCCTGCTGCTGGTGCTGCTGGTGATGAGCAAGTTGAGCTTAATGAAGCCCTTGCTGTGCGCCTTAGGGGGCAGGTGGTGCCAGGGGCTTTTCTTTTTCGATATTGTGATCTTTTGCGGCCTCGCTGCTGCAGCAAGGCTCTCTCCGTCCATGTCGGCCTCTTGGCCATGGCCGTCGACGCTAGATCGATCTCGGCGCAGGCGCGGCCGTGGGCGCGGAGGGACTGGTCGCCTGGGGACGCTCCCTCCTCCTCCTCCTCCTCCTCCTCCTCCTCCTCCTCCTCCTCCTCCTCCTCCTGCTCGTCCTAAGCCCGCCGTGCGCTCGGGCGCCTAGCTTGGCAGCGCCCCGCGGCTGCCCCCCTCTGCCTCGCTGACGCCGGCCTGCCGCGACGCGCGGGTGGCGCGCCCGCCGCGGGCGGCCACAGTACTGCGCCGCAGCTCCTGCTGGGTGGGCGCGGCTGCAGCGACCAGGGGCCCCGACGGCCGACGCCCGCCGAAGAGGGAAGCACGGCGCAATCACATGCGCAGCCAGAGGTCTGCGCGGACTTCGCGGGTCCGCGCCAGACCCCCCCCAGGCGCGCGGAGCGGCGCCCGGGGCGGCGCTGGGGGCGCCGCCAGGGGAGGGGATGCGGCGCCGGCCCAGGAGGTCCGCGTGGACCTCCGAGAACTTGGCGTGGATGCTGTTTTGTTTTTTTGTTGTTATTCGAGCCTCGTGTTCGCTTGAGTTAATTGTGCCGAGCCTTTTCCGAGTCGTGTCTTTCTCCTTCCAGCCAGTGCTGGGGCGACGCCAGGGGAGGGGGGTATGGCGCAGACCCAGGAAGTGCGCGTGAATCTCCGAAAAGTTGTGTTGATGCTATTTTGTTCATCATTGAGCCTTGTCTGTCTTTGTGTATTTGTTCCTTGTGTTTGTTCCACCCTCCTATCATTGTGACCTGTACTTTGGCGACGCTGTGAGCAGCCAGCCAGATGTGAACGCTCGCTTAGAGGACTGGTGCCATCGTGTACATAATACCTTCGGTTGCCGCCGAGAGTCATGGGAGCTCCATGCCCCCATGCCGCGTTTCAGGGGCCTTCGCTGCAGCGTCTTCATCGAACAGCTGTTTGTTCGTTATTTCGAGCCGTGATGCGCCTCGCTGGCCGTCTTCTATTTCGACGGCACGGTTCTCGCGCTGCTTCTTCATTTGGTGCACACCGTCCTCGGTGCCTGAGGTCGCCTGCGCCCTTCACCCGTCGATTCTCGGCCGTCTGGCCTCCTCCTCCCTCCTCCGCGGCCGTTCTCTGCTCTCCCACCCGCTCCGCGCGCTTCGCGCCCAGGGCGTTCCGCTGGTACGACCCCCGCGCCTGCGATCGGCCGCCTCGCGCGGGGGCCGCCCCTGCGTGCTGCTGTCGCCTTGCTGCTCCGCCTCCCGCTCCCCTCCTCTCCCTGCTTCTCTTTGCTTCGTGAAGGGATCGCGGCGCGAGGCTCCTCTCCGCGGTCGGCCTCTGGCGGCCCTTTCTGGGCCCCGAGGCTGTCGAGAACGACTCGGGGCGAGAACCTGGCCCCGGGGCAGTGGTCTGGACTTCGGGGGGGCCCGAGCTGTGAAGGATCACGAGTCCACCCTCCGGCCCAGACGCCCTGGCGTGACGTCTTTTTCGCAGCGCGGACCCTCCGAGGTAGAGATCCTTTTGTGGCGACCAGCTTTTGATCCCGAGCCGTTTTTGGACGGCCCTGGGGCCCCTTCGAGGGCCCCTGGAGGGCAAAAGTGGTCAAAAACCTTCCGTCATGATTTGTTCACTTTCGTCGATCCGTTCCCCTGGTGGGCCGTCAACCCCCCGGGCGGCGCCCCGAGGACCCGTTGTACGCCATCAAGCTCGGCGACCTCGAGCCCAGCGAGCGCGACGTGGATAATGGCACGAGGATCGGGTCGGACGAAACGGGGTCGAGATTCGAGGAGAGAACCTCGGGCTGGACCAAAGGGGTTCGAGGTTCGAGTTCTCGGGTTTGTTCCACGATTCTTGGTGTTCGTTGCTTTCCAGCAGCTGGGCTTTGCCGACAGCGTTCGGGGTGCCCAAATCGTCCCGAACGGCCGCTGGAAACCAGAGCTATGACCCAAACATCATGCGACGAGGACCACTCGTGTCGTACGAAATGGGGGTGGGTGGGAAAATTGTGGTTGCGACACCTGTGCAGCATGTGGCTGTTTTCGGACTTGCCGCCAGGCCCTTGATTCGATACATGGCCGCCTCCAGCCACGTGCAGCTGATTCGCCATGCCCTCTCCTGCTATCCCTTCTTTCGTCCCCTTTTCGTCCGTTCCTTTTTTTCGACGTCATGTTTCTTGTTCGCAGCGTGGGCGCCTGGAGATCGAGAACACTTCCGCGGAACCTGCCTTTGTCCTGGGGCCAGGGAAGGGCCCACATGGGGCCGAGAGTGACGAACGAACCTTCCGCCGTGACTTTCCCAGAAGGCCTCCGCCGGGCGCGGCTGGGACGAGGATCGCTCCGTTCCAGAGCTTTCTGGAACGCCCTCAGAGCGTGCCGCAACGCTCTGCAAAGGCCGCGGCGCCCGCGACAGCCTCCAGGGCCGCCGGATCTGAGAGATCCCCAGTATCTCCTCGCCCAAATGTCGCCTCGTCCTGGCTTCGACTTGCTTCGACCTTCGGTCGTGTTTTTTCCTCGCCCCGAGAGGACGCTCTCGCTGCTCTCGCTCGTCGGCTGGCCAGCCCGGGCCCCCGAAGTACCGCCTCCCACCGCCAGCCTCCCGCGGCTGGCGGCGCCCCCCCCCCCCCCTCTCTCGCCTGGGTGCCTCCCACCAGGGCTGTCATTGGCAGGAGGGGGAGGAGGAGGGAAGAGGACAAGGAGGAGGAAGAGGAGGAGGAGGGAAGAGGACAAGGAGGAGGAGGAGGAGGGGCGCCAGCTTCTATAAAGGCCTGGGCGGTTTTGGCGTTTTGGAAATCAGGTGAGGAACGCGGAGAATGCGAGGAGGACAATCGATTTGAGGAGCCGGTGAAAGATATCAACTAGATAACAAGGAGGAGAAGGAACAGGGCGAGGATGTAGGGAAGGATCGTGTCAGAACATGATATGGTTGAAGGGAAGGAAGAGCGAGATCGCAGTTGCACTCATGGCTTGGCTTCTCCAATCAGTGCTCTTCCTCAACCCTTCCTCCTACTTCACGTTTTCTCAATCCTCCTCCGTCCTCCCGCCTCATGCTTCCTCAATGCTTCCTCAATCCTCCATCCGCCGTCCTCCCAAAATTATCCTCCATCCTTCGTCAATGCTTCCTCACTGCTTCCTCAATCCTCCATGCTCCATCCTCCGTGGCTTTATTTCTCCTCCTGTTTCCTCAATCATTGATCCTCCATCCTCTATCCCTCCGAGGGTTTTCCCTCGATCCTCCAACCTCCCTCCTCTTGCTCATCCTCATCCTCATCATCGCCCTTCCTCGTCCATCGTCCCTCCTCGTCCTTCCTCCTTCTTGTCTGCCTTATCCTCCCCTCTCCTCTTCCCTCGTCCCTCCCTGTCCTCCTCCTCCGCATCATTCTTCGCATCGTGCTCCTCCTGGCCATTGTCATTGTTCTCTTCTTCCTGAGTTTCATCCTGCGCTTGCCCTCTTCCCTTCCTACCGTCGCCATCCCTCGCCCCTATGTCCTTCTCTCCCGTCCTCCTTCTCGTCGCCTCATCGTCCACCAACTCCTCCTGTCTTTCGCTCCTTGTTCTCCTTCTCCTCTTCCTTCGCATCCTCTTCGTCCTATGTATAAGTACCCTTATCATCCTCTTCCTCCTGATCCTCGTCTCTCCCGCCTATCCCCGTAGGGGGAGTTGATTGAGTTGCGCATTGCAAGGATGGCAGCGTTGAGGAAAGAAGGGGGGAGGAGAACGAAGGAAGGAATAACGAAGAGAGCGAGATCTGCGATGAGGGGGATACAAGCGTGGAGGCAGAGGAGGAGAAAGGACACAAGGGTGCATGGAGGAGGGAGAACCCCCCGTGGGGTGAGAGCTAGGCCTATGGGACTTGCCTTGCATCTCCCCTCATAACCATCACCCTCATCATCATCATTATCAGCATCATCATCACCATCATCATCACCATCACCACCATCATCATCATCACCATCATCACCATCATCACCATCATCATCAGCAGCATCATCATCATTATCAACATCGTCATAACCAACGTCATCGCTGTCAGCATGTTCCTCCTCCTTCTCCTGTTCGTTCTCGTCCCAATCCACCTCCTCATCATCATCTCCATCCCTGTCCGCGCTATCAAAACAAGCATAAACGACAGAACGAGAGAGAGAGAGAGAGAGAGAGAGCGAGAGAAGCGACTGATGAAGAGGAGCATGACGACATGCAGGAGGAGGACCAGGCGAAGAGATTAAGAGGAAGAGGAGGAGGCTGAGGAGGAAGAGGAGTTGTCCTTCTCACAGCCTCAATCCTACTTCCGCCTTCCTTCATCCTCCCTCATCTTCCCCATCCTCGGCCGCATCGTCGTCATCCCTCGCGCCCAGTTCCTTTTCTCCCGTCATCCGTCTCGTCCGCCTCATCGCCCACCACGCCACCGTGTGTTGCTATCCTCGTGTTCCTTCTCCGCATTCTCCTCATCCTCATCGTCGTGTTTCTTATGTTGTTCTCATCCTGCTCAGCCTCGTCCTGCTCTCGCCCTCCTCTCGTCTTATCGCCGTCAACCCTCGCCCCTAGTTTGGTCTCCATCTTCCTCCTTCTCGTCTGCCCCATCGCCCACCACCCCATCCTTGTTGTATTCTCCTTGTTGCCCGCCTCCTCATCCTCCTCATCCTCCGTTCGCTGTGCATTAGTACCCTTATCGCTATCTTCCTCCTGATCCTCGTCTTGCCCCCCCTCATCCCCGCAGGGGGAGTTGATCGAGTTGCGCATTCAAAGGGCGACAGCGGGGGATGCGGGAAGAAGGGAGGAAGAGACAGACGGGATGAGGAACGACGAGATCGAGATCTGCGATGAGGAGGATACTTTTTTGATCTGCAGGGCGAGGGCGAGCCTCTTCCGCTAAAAGCTCCGCGGGACGCGCACAGTTTTAATTGACAGAGAAGGGGCGGGAGCAGGCGGGGCCTCAGATGAGGAGGATACACGCGTGTAGGCAGAGGAGGGGACATGAATGAGGGTGCGTGGAGACGGGAGCCCACCCCTGTGGGAGTAAGAGCTAAGCCTATATGACGTGCCCCCATCAGCATCTGCAGCATCCTTTCCCCCCCACCCTGATCATCATCATCATCATCATCATCATCATCATCATCATCATCATCATCATCATCATCATCATCATCATCATCAGCATCATCATCATCATCGTCATCATCATCATCATCATCACCATCATCATCATCATCACAATCTCCTCTTCCTGCCGCGCAATCACAACACTAAGAAACGGCAGAACGAGAGAGAGAGAGAGAGAGAGGGAGACCGAGACAGAACGAGGGAGGAGGAGAAAGACTGGAGGAGGAAAGCAGATAGCGAGGTATTCGACGAGGAGGATACCAGCGCGGAGATTGAGGAGGTGAATTGAGAGAGGGTGCATGGGGGAGGGAGGACCCCCCCATCCCAGGGGGTGAGATTTGATAATAGCATCATCATCACCACCGCCATCACCATAATCATCCTGTTCCTCCTCCCCATGTTCATCCTAGTTCTCGTCCACCCCATCCTCATATTCGCCCTTCCCCGCCGCACAACCAAACCAATCAGAACAGGCAAAGAGGAAGAGAGCAAGATAGAGGATACGGGTTACGTAAGAGGAGCAGGACGGCATGCAGAAGGAGGACCAGGAGAAGAGAGGAAGAGGATGAGGAGGAGGCATAGGAGGAAGAAACGTGGTCCTTTGCGCTTCCTCAACCCTCCATTCCCTCAATCCTCCTTCACATGCTCATCCTATTCATCAGCATCTCTCTTCTTGCATTCTCCTTCCCTGTTCGCCTTTTCTCTCCGTGCTCCTCCTGGCCATTGCCATCGTTCTCTTTCTTCTTATCCTCCTCATCCTCCTCATCCTCATCTTCCTATTTATTAGTGCCTTGTCATCCTCTTCCTCCAGATCCTCGCCTTGCCACCCCTCATCCCCGCAGGGGGGGTTGATTGAGTTGTACATTCGAAGGATGGCAGCGCGGAGGAAAAAAGAGAGGAGGAGACACAAGGGAGCAAGAACGGAGAGAGCGAGATATGCGACGAGGAGGGTACATGCGCGGAAACAGAGGAGGGGAACGAGAAGAGCGTGCATGGAGGAGCCTCCCCCCTCCTGGGAGTTAGATTTAAGACAATGTGAGGTACCCTCTGTTAATTATGATCATCACCCCCCCATACCATCACAATCGCCATCGCCAGCATCATCATCACCATCATCATCACCATAATCCTGTTCCTCATCCCCCTCATGTTCATTCGCGTCCCCGTCCTCCTACCAGCATATCCCTTCCCTTGCGCGCCACTGAAACAAGAGAACATGCAGAGAACAAGAGAGAACGAGCGAGGGGAATCATGAAGAGGAGCAGGACGACATGCAGGAGGAGGACCAGGAGAAGAGAGAAAGAGGGGGATGAGGGATCGCGCTTTCTCAATCATCCATGCTCATCCGCATCCTTATCATCGCCCTTCCTCGTCCATCCACCCCCCTCGTCCTTCCTCCTGTTCGACTGCCTCATCCTTCCCTCTCCTCTTCCCTCTTCCCTCCCCGTTCTCCTCCTCCACGTCATTCTTCTCACAATGCTCCTCCTGGCCAATGTCAGTGCTCCCATCCTCCTCAACCTAATCCTGCGCTCGCCCTCCCCCTTCTTATCGCCGTTATCCCTCGTCCCTAGGTATGTCTTTCCGTCCTCCGTCTCGTCCGCCTCTTCGCCCACCACCTCATCCTTTTTTGCTCCCCGTGTTGTCCTTCTCGTCCGTCTCCTCATCCCACTCATCACCCCCTTCCTTTTTTATTAGTGCCCTGGGCATCCTCTTTATACGAATCCTCGCCTTGCCACCCCTCATCCCCGCGCGGGGGGTTGATTGAGGTGCGCATTCGAAGGATGGCAGCGTCGAGGAAAGAAGGGAGGAGGGCAAATAAGGGAGCAAGAACGGCGAGAGCGAGATATGCGACGAGGAGGATACAGGCGTGGAGACAGAGTTGGCGAAAGAGAAGAGCGTGCATGGAGGAGGGAGGACCCCCCCTCATGGGAGTGAGACTTAAGACTGTGTGACGTACCTCCTCTCTCATTCTAGCCATCATCACCATTTTCACCATCATCATCATCACCACCATTAGTTGCCTCCTCCTCATGTTCATTCTCGTCCCCCTCCTCATCATCCTCCTCATGCTCATCGTCTCCCTTCCCCTCCGCGCAATCAAAACAACAGAAAAGGCAGACAGAGAGAGATAGAGAGAGGGGATAGAGAGAGAGGGGATAGAAGCATGAAGAGGAGCAGGGCGACATGCAGGAGGAGGGCCAGGAGGAGCGACAAAGAGGGGGAGGAGGCTGAGAAGGAGGAGGAGTGATTCTTCGCGCTTCCTCAATCCCCCATCCCCCATCCTGCATCCCTCAGGTGGCTCTTCCTCAATTACGTTCTCCCTCCTCATGCTCATTCTCATCCTTATCATCGCCCTTCCCCGTCAATCGACCCCCATCGTCCTTCCTCCTTTTCGACTGCCTCATCCCCCCTCTCCTCTTCCCTCTTCCCTCCCCGTTCTCCTCCTCCGCATCATACTTCTCACCATGCTCATCCTGCCTCATACTTCTCCTTCTCCGCCTCATACTTCTCACGTGCCATTGTTCTGTTTCACCCTCCTGCCCTTCTCATCTCCGTCATCCCTCGCCCCTATGCCTTTCTATCCCGTCCTCCTTCTCGTCCGCCTCTTTGTCCACCACCTCATCATTGTTAGTTCTCCTTGTTGTCCGTCTCCTCACCCTCTCCATCCCCCTCATCCTGTTTATTAGTGTTTTTATGGTCCTCTTCCTCTTGATCCTCGTCTTGCCACCCCTCATTCCCGAAGGGTGGGGTGTCTGAGTTGCGCATTCAAACGATGACAGCGTGCAGGAAAGAAGGGAGGAAGAGAAAGAAGGGAGGGGAAAGAAGAGATCGAGATATGCGACGAGGAGGGTACAAGCGTGGAGACAGAGATGGGGAAATGACAGAGGCTGCATGGAGGAGGGGGACCCCCCCCCGTGGGAGTGAGATTTAAGACAATGGTGAGGTATGACGAGGAATGGGACGGGAGGAACGCGAGCGTAGGATGAGGTTGAGGATGAACAGAAAATTGCAATGGCCAGGAGGAACATGATGAGAATAATGATGCGGCGGAGGAGGACCGGGAGGGAACAAAGAAGAGAAGAGGGATGATAAGACAGTTGAGAAGGAGGAAGGACCAATAGTGTCGATGGACGAGGGATGGCGATGCTAAGGATGAGGATGAGGATGAGCACGAGGAGAGAGGATGTAGGAGGAAGAGCCACCCAAGGGATGCAGGATGAGGGATGGAGGATTCAGGAATCGCGAAGGACCGCTCCTTCTCCTCCTCCTCCTCAGTGACCTCCTCTTCCTCTCTTCTCCTGGTCCTTCTCCTGCATGTTCTTTCCCTCTCAGAAGGACTCGTATCAAAACCCTCTACATAAGGATTCCTGTTGAAAGCCTCCACAGAAAGATTCCTCTCAAACCTGCCACAAAAGGATACCTAGTGAAATCCTCGACAGAGGATTCCTATGCAAAGCCTGCGCAGAAGAATTCGTATGATAGTCCTCCACAGAAGAATTTCTATTGAACAGCTCCACAGAAGGATTCTAATTGAAAGCCTCCACAGAAGGATTCCTATTGGAACCCTCCACAGAAGGATTTCTATTGAAAGCCTCCACAGAAGGATTTCTATTGAGAAGGCTCCACAGAAGGATTCCTTTCCGGAATCCTCCAAGAAGGGGAATCCAGCGGCCAGAGAAAGAACGGAGGAAAAAAAAAAAAAAAGCCCGGAGGATTTTGTGGAACAGCAAATTTCGCTTGAGACATCCTCAGAAAATCAACAGGACAATATTTTTTTGCCCGATGTCTCAAGCGAAACCTGATTTTTGCTTCAAGAGTTTTTATCAAAACGAGGATTTCGCTTAAGACATCGGGCAACACATACAATTTTCAAGTTGATTTTCTGAGGATTTTTCAAGCGGAACATTTTTCTTTGCAACATCCTCTGGATTTTTTTTTTGTTTCTTTTTTCCTCCGTTGTTTCTCTGGCCGTTGGGTTCCTCAGGCCATCCTCCACAAAAGTTTTCCGATTAGAATCCTCGACAGAAGGATTCCTATCATGATCCTCCACATAAGGATTTCTATGGAAAGGCTCCACAGACGGATTCCTACTGAAAGCCTCCACAGAGGAATTCCTATTGAAAGGCTCCACAGAAGTATTCCTATTGAAAGCCTCCACAGAAGGATTCCTATTGGAACCCTCCACAGAAGGAATTTTATTGAAAGCCTTCACAGAATGATTTCGATTGAGAAGGCTCCACAGAAGGATTCCTTTTCGGAATCCTCCAAGAAGGGAAACCCAACGGCCAGAGGAAGAACGGAGGAACAAAAAAAATATGATTTTATAAAAAACAGAGTTCGCTTGAGACATCCTCAGCACATCAACTTGGAAATCGTATTTTTTGCCAGATGTCTCAAGCGACACCGGATTTTTCCTAGAATAATTTGATCGAAACGAGGACTTCGCTTGAGACATCGGGCAACCAATGCAATTTGCAATTTGATTTTCTGAGGATGTCTCAAGCGAAACTTTTTTTCTTCAAAATCCTCTGGATTTTTTTTTCCTCCGTTCTTTCTCTGGCCGTTGGGTTCCTCAGGCCATCCTCCACAACAAATTTCCGAGTATAATCCTCTACGGAAGGATTCCTATCATAATCCTCCACATAAGTATTCCTATTGAAAGCCTCCACAGAAGTATTCCTGTTGGAGCCCTCCACATAAGGATTTCTATTGAAAGCCTCCACAGAAAGATTTTTATTGAAAGCCTCCACAGAAGGATTCCTATTGAAATCCTGCACAACAAGGATTCGTATTGAAAGCCTTTGCGTAAATATTCCTATTGAAAGTGCCGATAAGAGGAGTCCTATTGAAATTCTGCACAAACGATTCTGATTTGAAAGTTTTCTGAGAACCATTTCCATTGAAATCCTCCGACAAAAAAAGGGTTCCTACTGAGATTCTCCCAAAAGGGTTCGTATTGAAAACGTCCATCATTCTCTTCTTTCCCTTTCGCCTCACCGTTTTGGAGGTTCTTTGTTCCAGGTTTGCACAGAAGCCTCTTTATTCCCAAGCGCTTTCCACATAACAGCTAGATGGTAAGAAAAGTGCCGAAACCGTCCAGGCCTTTATAGAAGCTCCAGTCGGAGGAGGAGGAGGAGGAGGAGGAGGAGGAGGGGGAGGAGGAGGGAATAGGACGAGGAGGAGGGAGGTTCTTCCTTACCTTCGGCCTCTTGGAGCCCTCACTGGGCCTCGGGACCGTCAGGAAACGATCCAGGACGAAACGCCAGTCCCAGAGGATGGGTTGAGACTTCTGAGGGCCGATTTTTTGAACAAATCATGGCGTCGGACGTCAGGGGAGGGAAGTGTCAATTTCGACCCGATCGATCCGATACGTGATCGACTTCGTCCGGCCCGATCCGATTCAGTTTTGTTGTTCAGTCGGTCCGACGATCGCATGGTGCCGTTGTGCATCCTGGCGCAGCCAATTCGATTCGTTTTTGACTCCCGATTCGATATTGACTCCGTGCCCATGCAGCCCGAGCCGACGCACATTCCGATTCGATCCGTTTTCCAGATTCTATGCTGATTGATCTTGGGAGGAGGGGAGGGGGAGGCGGGAGGACCCCCACCTCCGCGCGTTTTCGGCGAATGGAGGACCTTACTGGGCCCGGGGACAGTAGCAAAATCCTCAGGATGAAAAGCCAGTCCCTGGGAATGGGTCCAGACCTCTGGGGGTCCACATTGCGGCCAACATCTCGACGTCGGAGGTCTGGGCAGGAAGAAGGAGTGTGACGAAGAGGGGCGGCCCCGACACCGCAGTCTATGTGGCATGCGGGTCGTCGGCGCCGGCTCCCAAACCATTTAGGGAGTTTTGGGAGCTTTTCCCCATCTGCCGGGGAAAGCCCGCGCCGGGGCAGCGGTGGTGGGAATGCGGAACAGTTTGTGCTTATGCCGCTTTTTCTTTCTCTATGCTCGTGGCGGGGATCTCGGGAGATCGTCGGCGGTTTCATGGGCGGCTGTTTTTTTTGTTGCTTCTGGCTTTTCGCTGATATTTTATACTGATCTGAGATTTGGCGCCGTCCTTGCCCCCCCACCCTGCCTCTCCGAGCGCCAGGGGAGACTGACATACCGATGACGATGCCCTTTCCTCGCTTTTTCGCCTCTTGGGCGCCTCCCTCCTGGGGGACCCCACTCGCATCGGCCGGAGTCGCCTTGGGTTATCCTGGCAAGAGCGCGCCCTGGAAGAGGTCTGGAGAGACAGGGTATCTTTAAGTCGGGCCTGTCCCTCTACAGGAGGAATATCCAAAAATAATTTAAAAGTAGCCAGGGGACTATTTTCTAACTCTTTTGGAGCATTTTGGAAGCATTTTTTGGAATGTTTTGCTTTTCGCCCAAATCCCCCTGTAGGGGGACACGCCGCCCGAGCCAAGGGTATCTCCATGTTCTTGTCCCCTTGAAGAAACTGTATTTCCCGGCAGGCCGCGGTGGCGTCGGTTGCCTGGCTGGCCTCTGTCAAGACGCGCGGACGATGAGGGGACGCCAAAGTCGCGAAGGTCGAAGACCTCAGCGTCTTCCAGGCATGCGGCAGGATGGAGGGAAATTGCGCCAAGGATGATGAGAAGAGGGGGCTGCTGCTTATGTGGACTTTTCGTTTCCAGAAAATAATTCTTGTCGATCTCCGGAAGCGGTTCCGCGCGCTCTCGCCTCGACGCCGGCTACATCTTCACTGAAAACGAGGCTTCCGCTCGAGCGGTGGCTTGCTTGTAAATGTGTCTTGTTGCAGGCCCAGCTACACAGACAACGGCTCCCGCTCGATATTTTTCACAATGTACCCCGAGAAACCATGGCCAGAGAGGACCCCGAACTCTGTGGAACGGCGCTCTCGCTTGAGGCTCCTCGCAATTCAGTCAAGTTGGCGGAGGCCCAGCCACGACGACAAGGGTTCCTGCTCGACACTCCTCACGATTTACTCCGAGAGCCCCTTGCCAGGGAGGCCCGAACGGCGCTCTCGTTCGAGACTTTCTCGTAATTCAGGCAAGTTAGGTGGAGGCCCAGGCACGGTGACAAGGGTTCCCGCTCGACCCCCCCTCAAGATGTACTCCGAGAGTCCTGGCCAGAGAGGCCCTCGAACTCGCGAACGGCACTCTCGTTCGAGACTTTCTCGCAATTCAGTCGAGTTGGCGGAGGCCCAGCCACGACGACAAGGGCTCCCGTTCGATACCTCAAGCTGTACTTCGAGACCCCCTGGCCAGAGTTTGCAATTCAGTAGCGGCGCCGGAGGCCCACCTGCGACGACAAGGTCTCCCGCTCGACACGCCCATGCAATTGACATGTAAACGCTCACGCCAGAGAGGCCCCCGAACCACGAGGCCCCAGCACGCTGCTCACTGAGGCCTTCGGACACAGCCCACAGAAGCTCCAAGCGCGCCCACAAGGGCCCCAGCACGCTACCCACTGAGGCCCCCCAACGCAGCCCACAGAGGCCCCAAGCTCTCACAGAGGCTCGAGCACGCTGCCCACTGAGGCCTTCGGACGCAGCCCGCAGAGGCCCCAAGCGCGCCCACAGAGGCCCTGGCGCGCTGCCCACTGATGCCCCCAACACAGCCCACAGAGGCCCAGAGTAAGCCCACAGAGGCCGTAGTACGGTGCCCGCAGGGCCTCCCGCACAGCCCACTGAGGCCCCAAGCGCGCCCACAGAGGCTCCAAAACGCTGCCCACGGATGCCCCCGACGAAGCCCGCAGAGGCCCCAAGCGCGCCCACAGAGGCCCCAGCCCACAGAGGCCCCAAGCGCGCCCACGAAGGACCCAGTGCGCTCCCCACTGAGGCCCCCTGACACAGCCCACAGAGGCCCCATGCGCGCCCACAGAGTCCCCAGCCCACAGAGGCGCCAAGCGCGCCCACAGAGGCCCCAGCCTACAGAGGCCCCAAGCGCGCCCACAGAGGCCCCAGCGCGCTGCCCACTGAGGCCCCCTGACGCAGCCCACAGAGGCCCCAGCTCACAGACCGCTCCAAGCGCGCCCACGGAGGCCCCAGCGCGTTGCCCACTGAGGCCCCCCGACACAGCCCACAGAGGCCCCAAGCGCCCACAGAGGCTCGAGCACGCTGCCCACTGAGGCCTTTGGACGCAGCCCGCAGAGGCCCCAAGCGCGCCCACGGAGGCCCCAGCCCACAGAGGCGCCAAGCGCGCCCACGGAGGCCCCCGTGCGCTGCCCACTGAGGCCCCCCAACACAGCTCACAGAGGCCCCAAGCGCGCCCACAGAGGCCTCAGCCCACAGAGGCGCAAGCGCGCCCACGGAGGCCCCAGCGCGCTGCCCACTGAGGCCCCCGACATTGCCCACAGAGGCCCCAGCCTACGGAGGCCCCAAGCGCGCCCACGGAGGCCCCGGCGCGCTGCCCACTGAGGCCCCCCGACGCAGCCCACAGAGGCGCCAGCCCACAGTCCACTGAGCCCTCTCCCTCCTATTCGTCCTTTCTTCCCCTGCTCTAGGTGCTGCGCTAAGTGCACGTGGCAGGCAGGGAAGATATACCCCCAGGGGGCACGATCGAAGACGACGAGGGCGGGTATCGAGCGCTTGGGATCTACGTGTTGAATGGCACGCGAGCAGGTAATATTGAGCAGTCTTAAACTTGTTGTTGATGCTGCTGTTGTTTATGATGAAGTTGCAGATGACATGATGATGACGATGATGATGGTGTCGATGTTGGCGATTATGATACTGATCCAGAGGAGGAGGATTAGTGTAAACCCAACATTCATCAACGATGCCCCAATCAACTCACTCCAAGTTTCTTTTTCACCGATTCCTAGAGTATTTTTCCTGCACTGCGGGAAGTGCCCCGTTGGAAGACAATCGTTTGAAGCTCTTGAACGGTGCCATACACTATTCCTGGGACTTCAGCGCCGCGAATCAACATTAGTGTTTCGTCTTCACGATCCTGAGCCGTGCCAGAACGCCGTTCCTGGGACTTCAGCACCGCGCATCGAAGCAACTGTTGCGCCATGTCAGTCCTGCAACGTGCCAAAGCACTGCTTGTGGGACGTATGCCACAATAACCCTTGAACAGGTTGTAAGCTCTTATGACGAATGTGCGCAGCGCTCAGGCGAGAGCCACATTTTCAAAAGGAGCCGCCCTCCGTGAAGCTCTTGCTAAGGCGCGGTCCGCATTTTGAAAAAGAACCGCCGTCCATCCGTGAAGCGCTTCCAAACTTTGGGAACGAATGCCCGCAGCGCTAAGGCGAGAGACGCACTTCGAAAACGACCCGCCTTCCATCCGTGAAAACCTTGCGAACTTTGAAGACGGATGTTTGCGGCGCTAAGGCGAGATCGACATTGTGAGAACGACCCGCCCTCCATCCGTGAAGTTGATCCGTGAAGTTGTTGCACATGTTAAGCTTTAGGGTCATATATGGTGAGGAAGTCACAGGCGAAACGCCCGGCCCGCCCTACCGACACGTCTCGGGGTCCGACAGGGACTAGTTATTCCTAAGGAGAAAAGACGGATGAGGTGGTGGAGGAGGAGGCCCAGGACGAGGAGGAGGAGGAGGAATAACATTAACCGCGTAGCTAGATTTCTCGGCGAAAAAGGCGAGAGCGGAGTGTGGGTGGGGAGGGGGAGGCGAGGGATAAGATAAGGTCCACGAGAGGGGTGAGCAGATGCGGGGGATGCGGGGGGAAGGGTGGTTCGGCGGCGGAGATAGCAGCAGCGGCAGCAGTGGCAGCAAGCCACGGTGGTGGATGCAGCGGCACTGGCGGCAACATTCACAGCGTTAGCGCCAGCAGCAGATACAGCTGTGGCGGCGGTGGCGGCGCCAGTAATGTCAGCAGCGGCGGCAGTGAGCAGCGGCAAAAACAGTGGCGGAGCCTTTTCTCTGGGAACGCGAAGCCGCTCTCCCACCAGTTTCTCTTAGACTTTTGTACAAAGGCTTCAGCCTTAGGAGTGACTCGAGACATTAATGCTTGCTCGGAATCTCCTTCCTTCTACCTCATTTCTCTTTCCTCTTCGTTCCCAGCCCCATTCTGCTCCCGCCTTCTTCCTCCCTCTGCCCTCCTCCTGTCCTCTTCCAGCCTTCGGCATAGACCACTTTTTTTCATTCCATCTTCTCCTCGCCCTCCCCCTCGTCCCTTCGCCTCCCCCCGCCTCTCTCTCCCCCCTTCAGAGCCTGATCAACGCTTGTCAATACAATGCGCAGAAGCGGCTGTACGACAACATAAGAATGTCAATCCAAACGAACTGGAAAGGCACAGTTTGCCTGGCGGCAACCAGGCAGCCAAGTCCCGTTCCAGCTGATCGCCGTGGCTGCACTGGGCCCAGGCCGTTGAATTCATTATGCATCAGACCCCTCCCCCTCTCCAGACATCCGACGTCGCGATTTGTCACGACGTGGCTCCCCAGAAATCTGGACCCCTTCCCGGACACCGGAGTTGCCCTGTCTCTGGCTTGGGCTCGCACACGAGTTCGGGCCACGTGTTGTGCCTCGCCAGGCGCTCGCATGCGAAGATCACCAGCAAGGAGAGGTCCATGGAGACGAAGATATTGGAAAATGTCCCCGCCCCAGCTGGCACAGGTGGAGGATGAGTTGGATGAAGATGATAGTGGTGGTGGTGGTGGTGGTGGTGGTGGTGGTGATGATGATGATGATGATGATGATGATGATGATGGTGAGCACGACTGTTGTGATGACGACGGGGACGACCAAGAGGACGATAATAATGCTGATGCTGATGATGCTGAGGAGCATGCCGATGCTGCTGCTGCTACTGCTGCTACTGCAGACGACGTTGATGTTTATGGCGATGATGATGATACTGATGACGATGATGACGATGGTGACGATGATGATGCTGCTGCTGATGATGCTGCTGCTGATGATGATGATGATGATTGTGATGATGAGGGTGATTACGACGATGCAGATAATGATTCTGATGACGATGACAATGACATTGGCTATAGCAATGGAAACGCAGTCGACGATGAGGACGTGGACGACGATGTCGAAGATGCCAACGATGATGTGAGTTGTTATTATCGAGCTTCCTACGCCAATTTCCGACACCGTGCGAGCCCATCACCTTGTGCGGTGACTCTTCGGATGCTGATGATGATGATGCTGATGATGATGATGATGACGATGATGATGGTGATGATGATGATGATGATGATGATGATGATGATGATTATGCTGATTATGCTAATGATGATGTTGGTGGTGGTGGTGATGACGATGATGACGATGATGAGGATGGTTGTGGTGGGTGGTGGTGGTGGTGATGCGGATGATGAATCTGATGTTGACGATGATGACTATGCTGCTGCTGATGCTGAGGACGTTGATGTTGATGATGTTCATAATGCTAATGACGATGGCAATCATGATGGTAATGATGATGAAGATGATGATGAAGATGATGATGATGATGATGATGATGTTGATGATGATGATGATGGTGGTGGTGGTGGTGGCGGTGAGGGTGGTGGCGATGAGGATGCGGATGATGATGATGTTGATGACGGAGGGGGCGGTGTTGGTGGTGATGATGATGATGATGATGATGATGATGATGATGATGATGATGATGATGATGATGATGATGCCGATGACACTGATGAGTCTTTTGGCGTGGATGGCGCCTGCGACGATGAGGACGGCGACGACAAAGACTCTGACATTAATGACGGTTCTGATGAGGATGCTGCTGCTGCTGATGTTGACAATGCTGATGATTATGCTGGCCACGATTACGATGGCGACGATGACGATTATGATACTGCTGCTGACAATGATGGCCATAATCATTTTTTTTCCTCCTCCTCCTTCTCCTCCATTTTGTCCTCCCCCCTTCTCCTCATCCTTCTCCTCATCCTCATCCTCCTACTCCCTCGGAGCGATTGTCGGGGCACTTGCCGTCGCGGAGCTGCATGCCTACGAGTTGTCACTCTGCACCTTCGGCCTGGAGCGTATCATGATGTATGGGTATTTTAATCGTTTGTATGGGTATTTTAATCGTTTGTTGACGGGTCTCGGCTGGGTAGTGTCCTTCCTCCTCCTCCTCACCTCCTCCTCCTCCTCCTCCTCCCTCTCCATCTCAGGCATCCGGAGGCCTGAAGAGGGCCTGAAGAGGACCCCCAAACTGATTCGGGATTAGAAAGCTAGTGCTGGTACGCCGTGACAACAATCACGGCGTTGGAGATTTGGTAAGGTCTCGACCCTCGAGCCTCGATTTATTCTCCCTGTGGAGATGTCGAGGCCCATCTCAAAAACCTCGGGCGAACGTGCCCATCGAACTGATGTTTTGGCGCGACACCGAAGAGCATTGTGCTGTTTTCGTCGTCGTCGTCGTTGAACTTTCATTTCTGAAGAATTATTGTCGTTGATCCCCCCCCACTGGTGCAGATTCTTTTTCAATTGAAGTGCCCCTCCCGGCGCTCGCACCCTGTTTTTTATCAGGGGCAATCTTGAGGCTCAATCTGGGCCCCTGGCCCCCCGGGGTTACAACAACAACGGCTCCTGCTTGAGACTTCCTCACAATTTAGCCAGGATCCCCGCTCCCGCCTGAGACTTCCTCGCATTTTATTCAGGAATCGCGCTCTCGTTTGGGACTTCCTTACAATTTATTCAGGAATCGCTCTCTCGGCGCTCTGGAGTCGCGCTCTCGCTGGACACGTGCTTGCAATTCACTCAAGAATAGCACCCTTGCGCTGGAATTTCCGCAATTTATTCAAGCGCCGCGCTCCCGACACTCAGGCACTCAGGAGTCGCGCTCACGCCTATGACTCCCTCGCACATTCTTTAGGAATCGGGTGCAGCCCTTCGTTGCCCCCTCGCTGCCCTTCGTGGCCCCGTTGCAGTCCTTCGTTGCCCCCTCGCTGCCCTTCGTGGCCCCGTTGCAGTCCTTCGTGGCCCCCTCGCTGCCCTTCGTGGTCCCATTGCAGCCCTTCGTGGCCCCCTCGCTGCCCTTCGTGGTCCCATTGCAGCCCTTCGTGGCCCCCTCGCTGCCCTTCGTGGCCCCGTTGCAGCCCTTCGTGGCCCCCTTGCTGCCCGTCGTGGCCCCGTTGCAGCCCCTCGTGGCCCCCTCGCTGCCCTTCGTGGCCCCATTGCAGCCCCTCGTGGCCCCCTCGCTGCCCTTCGTGGCCCCGTTGCAGCCCTTCGTGGCTCCCCGACTCTCCGACTGGCCTTTCCCGACCCCCGACTCCCCGACTGGCCGTTTCCCCGACTGGCCACTTCCCTGACCGGCCGACTGGCCGACCCTCTGACCTTCCGACTGACCGATTGGCCGACTCTCCGACTTCCCGATTCCCCGAGTCTCGACTCCACGATTCCGCGACTCCCCGACTCCCTGACTCACCGACTTCGCGATTCCCCGACTCCCCGACCTCCCCGCCACCTGACTCCCGAACCTCCCGGCGCCATGTTTCCTCAACTCCCGACTCCCTGACTCCTCGACTCCCCGACTTCATGATCTCAGAGCGTGTCGAGGGCTCCGGAAAAGGCTGGAGATGAGGGCGTGGCGGAGCTGTGTCGGGATCTTTCTCGCGAGATCTCCGGCTCAGGCTGATGAGGCCTCTGTGGCCTCCTGGGCACCTCCTCGGGAGTTCTCTATCTCTCTCACGCTCTCTTTCTCTTTCATTGTTTATTTTTCTTTTCCTCTCTTTCTATGTCCTTTTCTTTTTCCCCTTCTCTTTCTTGGAGCTTCCAGGGAAGCTTCACAAGCTGCCCGAATCCTGCCCAAGAG